GTGCCACGATTGCTTTTCCTTTTTAACAGCAGTAGGAAGGGACCTTTGAGGTCATCTAGTCCAACCCCCTGCTCAGGCAGGAGTCCTATACTAGAGATTCGAACCGCCCGAACGGCCGACCTTTCTGATCGACAAGCTCAGCGTCTTAGCCACTGAGCCATCTAGTCAGGTCAGGCAGGATGCCGGAAGCTGTTTCCCCCCCCCCAAAAAAAAATTATGTGTGGGGGCCAGCCAGGACCAAAATGATTACGTTTCTTTCCAATTCGCCTACGCTGACGTGTTATTAAAATTAAGAAAGCGCAATTATTCCGGCCAGGTATTTAAAGTAATTTTCCTCTCCCTGCCACAGTAAATATTGCTATTTGGACATTAATTTAGGGAAGCTTATACCTTCCTGCCTTCACAGATCGCAGGCGAGATTTTATTTATCTTCCTTACCCTACACTTCATTCCGAGCTAAAGAGTTCGGACTGCCATAATCTGTCTTTCTAGGGTTGGCAGTAAGTATGTTTTAAAATACAGCTATTACTTTGCTCGGTGAAAAACATAACAAACGATTATTTTTAAAAAAAGCACACACACACACACACACAATCTTGGCAAGCACAGGGAAAAAAATAAAAAACGCCAAGGAACGCCAACATTTTAAACCGGTAAAAAGGTTGAAAGCCTTTCCTGAAATGCTTTCGGTTCACGGAAAAGTCAAGAGCTTCCTTCGGTGGCGGGGGAGGGGAGAGGTTTTCACGGCAAAGATGCGAATTCGAAAGAGGGCCCAGGCAAGGCCTGCCGTGGGAGTGAGTTCCAGATTTAAACCATGACAAGGGTTCATCCTCGAATCCCACCGTGATAACAAGGGTTGACACGGAAATGTCGATCTCCCTCGAGAGACTGAGTTACAAAGGTCTTTTCCTGGACTTTTCACCTTTTTTGCCTTCACGCATACCCTGCGAGGTAGGCCACTGAAAGAGATAAACTAGGCGAGTCCAGCCAGGGTCTTTTGGGAGCTAAAAAGGTAAAGGTTCCCCTCGCACATATGTGCTAGTCGTTCCCGACTCTAGGGGGCGGTGCTCATCTCCGTTTCAAAGCCGAAGAGCCAGCTCTGTCCGAAGACGTCTCCGTGGTCATGTGGCCAGCATGACTCAACGCCAAAGGTGGTCCCTATTTTTCTACTTGCATTTTTTTACGTGCTTTCGAACTGCTAGGTTGGCAGAAGCTGGGACGAGTCACGGGAGCTCACCCCGTTACACTCGGCACTAGGGACTCGAACCGCCGAACTGCCGACCTTTCGATCGACAAGCTCAGCGTCTTAGCCACTGAGCCACCGCGTCCCCCTAATTTGGGGAGCTAAATGGCTCCCCAAATTTGGGGTTTTCCCGAATGGATCCTTTCTGGACCCTCTCTGGGTCTCTGGGTCAGAAGCCCAATGGCCGCGACTGGGGTACAGCTAGTATCACAACCGAGCCCAATATTTTCCGTCGTGAAGTGAGACATCGGTTGAGGGAGTTCTGCCCCCATTTTACGACCTGTCTGGCCCTCGGTTGTTAAGTCAATTGGCGCAGTCGATGGTACTAACCCGGTCATTAAGCAATTTTGCCTTCCCTGTGCTTGTCGGAAGGTCGAAAAAAAGGGGATTATGTGATCCCGGGATATTGCGACTGTCCTAAGTACAAGTCAGTTTCCAAGCATCTGAATTTTGATCACGTGACTGACCATGGGGAATGCCGCAAAGGTCGTAACTGTGAAAAACGGGACCTAAGTCACTTTTTTTTTCCAGTGCCTTTGAATGGTCACTAAATGAATCTTTGTAAATCAAGGACTACCGGTTATTGTTGAACCTTACACAGAAAGTTTCCTTTTTTCCCCCCTAGAAGTCTGCAGTCCCTTCCCAATTCTTCTTCTTCGGACCCCCTGAAGATTCTTCAAACTTGAAAAAAAAACGAAACGCTTATCAGAAGCCGGGGCCAAGGAAAAAAAAAAAACGTTATCGTCTTACCTCATCTCAACTTTGCTCTCTTCTCCTTCTTGGGTTTCCAGGCTCTCCCAGACTTCGAAAGGGCTGGCTTCTCAGAAGAAGAAGACAATGACGAAGAAGAAGGAGGAGGAGAAGAAGAAGAAGGTGGCAGGCCTGGCCTCTTCCCTGCAAAAGAGAAAGAAGATAACAGGTTTAAAACAAAAAAAAAAAAGATTCAAAACCAAAGTTAAAAGCGAACGGGGCAAACGCTTTGTCGAAGTCAAGCAAGAAACGGCAGGCGGGTAAAATACCGAACGGATGAGACATCTCGGCGGGATGCTGTCTTCAGGGTCTCATTTGCTATCAGATCCAGAGCGAAGGAAGGAAGGAAGGAAGGGAGAGAGACAGAGAGAGAAAGAGAGAGAGAGACAGACAGAGAGAGAGAGGCAGAAGTTAAATGCTGTTGCAACCTTCAAAGCGTGCAAAACTCTTCCTGTAGGAGCTTGTTGGAAGTTGCCCAACTCGCTCTGGCTTCAAAGCCAGGAAGGAGCCTGAGTCCTACAAAATTTAGAGGAGTCTGAGGAAGAGGAGGAGGAGGAGGAGGAGGAAGAGTGGGAAAAGCAGGGAGGGCGCGTACCTCAAACTTTCTCAACTCTCTTGGCTCTTCCCTTGGACAGCTGCAACGTCTCGCGTTCCCCCCCACCACATCACCACCCCTCCTTGCTCCGTCTTGCGTGCCCATGCAGAAATCTCCAAAAGGCACGGCCCCTCCCACGCACACGCGCTTTTTACATAATGACGGGGCCCTGAGATTACAGAGAGCGGGCTGCCAGCCGTTCCTGCCTCCTTGTCCCAGCTCCAAGGTAACAAGTTCAAAGGGAGGAGAGCCGAAAAGGCGAAAAGTGGCAGGGGAAGCCCGCTGGCCTTAAGACTGGACTTCGGATGCTGGTGGTTTGTGGGTTTGTTTGTTTTTTTTTAAATAAAAAGAAAAAGCGGAAGGGAACTTGTTCTTCAGGTTGGAAAACAGGAAGAAACGGGTTTATGGCTACGTTTGCACACTCCCTGTTTTTTTTTTTTCCCCTTGAACAGACCGCTGATAGGAAAAAGGTAGGTTCGATGAAACCTTACCTGACGAACGCAGGTGGGGGTTTGGTTAATTATTAGCGAGCGAGTCGACTGGATCTCTGCTGGCTTCCGGGATGCCTCATCCTCAACCTGTGCAGGGGACAGGTAATGACCAAAGTCTCCAAATCTGTCAGAGAAAGAGAGAGAGAGAGGATGCAGTAAGAAGAACGGGGGTTGGACTAGAAGACCTCTAAGGTCCCTTCCGGCTCTTAGGATGCTAGGATTCCGCACCAGGGTGGAATCTGTTATGCACCACAAATAATAATAGTAATAATCTTCTTTTTTTAATGTTAATAATAATTTATTATTATTATTAAATTATTATTAAATTAGATATTTAAAATAACAATCTGTTATGCACACAAAGGGTATCTTTGGTTAAGTTTGAGAACAGGTCAAACCAGCGGTGAAATCCAAATTTTTTTTTTTACTACCGGTTCTGTGGGCGTGGCTTGGTGGGTGTGGTGTGGCTTGGTGGGCGTGGCAGGGGAAGGATACTGCGAACTCTCCATTCCCACCCCATTCCTGGGGGAAGGATACTGCAAAATCCCCATTCCCTCCCCACTCCAGGGAAAGGATACTGCAAAATCCCCATTCCCTCCCCACTCCAGGGGAAGGATACTGCAAAATCCCCATTCCCACCGCACTCCAGAGAAAGGATACTGCAAAATCCCCATTCCCACCGCACTCCAGGGGAAGGATACTGCAAAATCCCCATTCCCTCCCCACTCCTGGGGGAAGGATATTGCAAAATCTCCATTCCCACCCCACTCTAGGGCCAGCCAGAGGTGGTATTTCCCGGTTCTCCAAACTACTCAAAATTTCCGCTACCGGTTCTCCGAACTGCTCAAAATTTCCGCTACGGTTCTTCAGAACCTGCTGGATTTCACCCCTGAGAAGGCGATTTCACACGCTTAAGCGGTCTGGACCTCAACTTTTGATAACCTCTGGCGGCGTGATGGGAATGATAACACTACAATGTAAATTTCTCAACCATGCCAGAGTCGTTTTGTAGGGGAGACGGTTGCCCTAAAGGCTTAATCAAAGAAATAAATAGCAAAAGTCTAGACTTGGTACCAGGTTTTTAACAGCTTTAAAAATAAAATCAGATTTCTTTTATGCATTTCAGAGTTTCTCCTCTGGCAGCTGAAAATCCATGGTGTGGCAAATGTCCTCCAAATTTCACTTGACTTAATAGCGCCAAGAAAATGGGGCTGGCCTGATTTTATATTGGTTTTAAAATTGATACTGATTTTAATTGAAATGTTCTAAATTATGGGCCAAACTTTATTTAATTATTTCAAAACTATTTTAACTTTTGTGTACAAATGTTTTATTTTTGGCTGTTCACCGCCCTGGGTCCGAAAGGAGAAGGGCGGTATAGAAATTAAATAATAATAAATAAATAAATAAAACCTGTGTTGTGTGTCTGGGGGGGAGAGAAATTGAAGTGGCCAGGCGTGAAGGAGGGACCCCCACCCCACCCCGCCCCACACACAAACACACACACATTCATTTTGAATTTTGATCCTGTGAGCAGAAGGCTGAAGCCATGGTCATAACTGTTACAGGGATGACGTCGTGGCTTCAAACAGTCGCTAAATGAAGAACCGCTGTTAAATTTGAGGACCACCATTTAAAGAAAAATGACGGCCACCTGAATAAAAAAAAAAATCACACGAAGAACATCGAAGTTTAGGTCTGTCCTCCATGCAACACACATTCAAGATACGGAGAGAGAGAGAGAGAGAGAGGCAGGGAAACGCAGGATGGCGAGTGGAGCGCGTACATTTTGCTTCGTAGATTTCTCCGTAGAAAAAAAATCTGTTCGGAAAAAGGGCAAAAAGGGTACATGAACAATACTGAGAATACTGTACCACAAAACTCAAAATGGCAACCAGAAAACTCAAAAGAGATCACCAGGAAAAAAATAACAATGCTCTTTTATCCCCCAAGAATTTCCCCCGCACATTTTCTTCTGCAGGCAGCGTCTTGCCTACCGAACTTTCGGCTACAAATTCTTAGAACGTCATGCTAAATTCCAACTTAAAACCCCGGGGCAACTCGAGGGTTAGGGTTGTATATAAAGTACAGTGATACCTCGGTACTCATCGTTAAATTGGTGGCGGGAAGTGCGACGAGTAGCGAAAACACCGAGAATTTTTTTCCCCACGGGGGAATAACGAGAGTGAATCACGAGGCAGCCGACAGCGACAAGTTCTAGCTCGCGCGTCGAGTACCAAACAAATGACAAGTACCGGGACCCAATTTTGCATCGAAATGCGTCGAATACCAGATTCGATGAGTTTCAAAGCAGTTGAGTACCAAGGTACCACTGTTATCGATGGTTTTGTTATTTTTTCCGTTCGATCAGGTATGCCGCCCGGTCTTAATTCTTGGCGTACGGAATGCTATTACCTTTCCATCAAAGGCGGTCCCTATTTTTCTACTTGCATTTTTTACCTGCTTTTGAACTACTAGGTTGGCAGAAGCCGTGACAAGGAACGGGAGCTCACCCCATTATGCGGCACTAGGGATTCGAACCACTGAGCTGCGGACCTTTCGATCGACAAGCTCAGCGTCTTAGCCACTGAGTCCATTTATATATATATAATTTTAATAAATATAAATTTATATTTGCTGATAAAGAAATAAGGGGAAACTAGTATAGATCTATTTCAAGCTTTTTAGCTCTCATCAGCTAGCCATACCCTTACTCGGATTCGAACTTAGCTAGCCGATGAGAGCTATATAGCTTGAAATAGATCTATACTAGTCTCCCTTTATTTCTTTATCAGCAAACATAAAACATAAAACACTTTATATGTTTTTCATTGAGACACCTGGTCTACCCCAACATGTGGGAGGATGCATACTGCTTCCCTTTTGCATGGGATACCCACATGTTGGGGTAGACCAGGTGTCTCGATGGAAAAACACTTAATCTTTCCCCTGGCTCAAGCTGATGAAGGGAGGAGAACTTGTGGCTCAGAAGGTTAATTCAACTGCCTAACATGCAGGAAGCCCAAGTTCAAATCCGAGTAAGGGTATGGCTAGCTGATGAAAGCTAAAAAGCTTGAAATAGATCTATATTAGTCTGCCTTTATTTCTTTATCAGCAAAATATAAATTGATAGATATATATATATATATAGAGAGAGAGATTATGCACATCCCTAAACTGGTTAAAAATATATCATTTTCTCAGGAAATAACTCATGCTAGTGGAACGGATCAAGGGAATGTTCAGTCAAAAGTCCTCCTCCTGAGCCAATTTCGCTATCTGGAAATAGGAAATCAAGTTCCAGACACAACTATGGATCCAGCCAATTTTTTTTTTTTTAATCTTAATCAACTCCCAAATCAACAAAGCTTAACAGCTCGTAGGAATTTGGCAAGGCTAATCCTAATAAATTGGCTCTTACCGCTGTGCATCTGTCAATCCACTTGAGGGAAAGGGGGGGGGAAGAAAAATCCCTATCAAGCTTCAGTTTCTCCCGCTTTCTAATTTTTCCAGTCTGGAATCGCATTTCCCTTTCACCCACTTTTCACATCTGGTTGCACATTTTTTAAGGCCGCACAAAAATGTGTGTCTGTCTTTGGAGTGCGGTTTTTAATATGCTGGTTGGTTTTTTTGGTTTTTTTGCAAGCAACTTTTTCTGATATGATACCCTCTTGGGTTTTGATGTTGATAGACGTGTTACGGTGACGTTGCATTTTTCTCTAACTTGAGCTCTTTTCTATGCATCCTTTTCATCTGGAATGCTGAGCCTCCAAAGCCCACTTCTCAAAAATGCCTCTTTTATTCACATTTTGGTTCAAGGAGAAGGAAGAAAATCAGCTGGAAGATTCATACAAGGTATTGCAAAACCTCCATCCATCAACCTGACATTCCCCACCTTTGACGCTACAAACCATCACAAAGCTACGAGGTTGGTAGGTTATTAGCCACCATAGCTGATTCACGCACACACCAAAAAAAAAAAAAAAAAAAAACTATGTCAAATCAAAATAAAGTATCCTTAAGGCTTGGCCCCAGGGGTGAAATCCAGAAGGTTCTGGAGAACAGCGGAAATTTTGAGCAATTCGGAGAACCGGCAAATATCACCTCTGGCTGGCCCCAGAGTGGGGTGGGAATGGAGATTTTGCAATATCCTTCCCCCCAGGAGTGGAGAGGGAATGGGGATTTTGCAGTATCCTTCCCTGGACTGGGATAGGAATGGAGATTTTGCAATATCCTTCCCCGCAGGAGTGGGGAGGGAATGGAGATTTTGCAGTATCCTTCCCCTGGAGTGGGGTGGGAATGGAGATTTTGCACTATCCTTCCCCTGGAGTGGGGTGGGAATGGAGATTTTGCAGTATCCTTCCCCTAGAGTGTGGTGGGAATGGAGATTTTGCAATATCCTTCCCCCAGGAGTGGGGAGGGAATGGGATTTCACAGTATTTTTCTCCTGGAGTGGGATGGGAATGGAGATTTTGCAATATCCTTCCCCCAGGAGTGGGGAGGGAATGGGGATTTTGCAGTATCCTTCCCCCAGGAGCAGGGTGGGAATGGAGATTTTGCAATATCCTTCCCCCTGGAGTGGGGAGGGAATGGGGATTTCACAGTATCTTTCTCCTGGAGTGGGGTGGGAATGGAGATTTTGCAGTATCCTTCCCCTGCCACGCCTACCAAACCACGCCCACCAAGCCACACCCACAGAACCGGTAGTAAAAAAACAACAACTGGATTTCACCACTGCTTGGCCCCATGTATGAAGCCGGATGCAGCCACAATTGCAGGCTGCAACTGCCAAAACGATTAGACGGCGGGCAAAAGAACGCATTTAAACTCGGCTGCCGTTTAGAAAATGAGCTGGGAGTTGGCAGCTCAGGTCAAGCAAGATTAATTATTGTTGTCTATTTATTTTATTTTTTTTTGCCCTCACTTCTTTATGAGCTCGGAGTGAATCGGCACTCCAACATCAGAGGCAGTCCTCGTCCTGCTCCTGGCTGGTACTCCTGGTGTCAAACTTCTGTAAAATGTTACTCACTTGCTACTGCAAGGAGACGCCGAGCCTGTGGTTAAAGGAACACCCTGAGCCTTAAACCTGTTCTCTTGAAGCACGTCCTTAAAACACAACTTTAA